TCATTTACTTACCTTCTATAATTGAAACTTTGTTGCCTTAAGAGGAGGCAGCAGCTGGCCAGGAAGCTTGGCTTCTTCCCTCCTTGGGGCAACCAAGCCTCCTGCTTGTTCCAGCTCTGTGGCTGCCAGCTGCCATCTTGGTTGGGTTAATTTGCATATAGTCACTCTGATTAGCTGGTGGGCGTGGCTGGACATAGCGAAGGTATGATCAATTAGCATCTTTGTCTTTTATTAGTGTAGAAGATTAGGGTACTCCTAAGGCTTAGGAAGAGCCACACTCAAGGGGCCAAAGAGCCGCATGTGGCTCACGAGCCACAGTTTGCCGACCACGGGCATAACCTGAGACCCAGGTGGCTGGAGGGAAATGTATTCCTGGGCAGGAAAACTTGATATCTGGGAGTGTCAGTCACTCACAAACTAATATGAAACTTTAAGTGAGTTGTAATCAGAAGCTCTTTAGGGGGAAAGACAGGGGAATAAATGGCTAAAAATATTTAAAACTTTTAATGAAAAAAATTAGAATCTGAGAATAGTCAACATAATGAAAAAGTATGAAGTGGTAGGATTTAGCTTGCCAGATATTAAATTTACCATATATTAATTGAAATCCAAATGGTACCAGAAACTACATCCAAAGACAAATGAGGTTTTGGTTGTACTACAGTTATGCTAGATGCTTCCTTGGGAAAAGCTGGGTGAAATCTACACGGGACTCTGTACCATTTTCACAAGTTCACAAGCCTCTAATTATTTACAAATAAAAAGCTTAAAAAAAGGTAATCTGGGGAGGAAAGGGAACTCTGGGGAGTAGAGTTGCCACCCCAAAATATGCTTCGTTGGGATATTGCTAATTTGGGTTGGGTATTTTTAAGAAACAAACAACCCAGGTAAAAGTTTTGGCCTTTCCCCTACTGCCTAAGAGAATCTGAGATAGCAAACCTATTCCAGAAGGGGTTTAATCAAAGGGTGTGGATGACAGGGAGGACCCATCCAGGCCTACTCAGTCAGTCCTTTCTGCCCCAGCCTCTCAGGATGGCCCAACACATCCCTTGTAAATTGCCTGACTTCCCTTAGAAGTCCAAGACCCCTGTTCCCCCTCCTTTGTCCAGAATTACACACACACACACATGCACACACACACACACACACATACACATATACTGAGTGGCCAGATTATTATGACCACCTGATGTTTGTAGGCAAATTAGCCGTACACTGCAGCGTATGGGATATGGAAGCCGAAGGCCTGATCGAACACCTTTGCTGTCTGCAGTCACCAAGATGAAACGTCTCCAATTCTCACAGGAACACAAGGATTGAACAGTCGAGTATTGCAAAAAAGTCATGTGGTCCGATGA